GAATTACTGCAGAGGTAGGGGAATGCGGAGGTCTTGACTGGACATTTAAAGACTGGGTGTAAGGATCTGTTGATTATAATATTCCTGGAAACACTGGAAATACTAGTTAATCTTCATGTCTTCCACTTCAAAGGAGATGGAGGGAGCAGGTAGATTTGGAGCTGGTCAACTCTGTGCTACCAATTTTCATGAAGTCTTAATGACTAGTGTCCTACGTACAGAGTTGGGCAGGAATCTGACCCAAAGGTTAAGGCAGCAAAGGCAACAGATGTGATATGATTGCAGCGATACCAAGTTCACCCTCATTTTTGTCACCCACCAATCACCTTCAAACTTGGGGAGAGTCAGTTTTTCCAGAAAACTGCCTAAGTGTTTCAAGTTCCATTGCTTATTCAAAGAGAAAAGAATTCCTCTTCCCTCTGAAAAACTGGTCTAAAGTGCTTCTTTGTGTGCTTGGAATATAGGTCTTCTGCCGAATCTGTGACCTTTGTAACCTTGAAATGCAAAATCCTCTGGAAGCAACCCAGAGCCTCCACATATAATCATACAACTTCCCAGGAGACAGGTTCTGTCAAATGGAAGTTAACCGCACTATAATGTTTAATTAATGTTACATGTGTATGCTTGCCCAGATGTGTGTGGGTGCACATGTATGAGTGCACATGGGTTAATGCATGTATAATGCACGTGGATCATAGAAGTCAATTTCAGAGATCATTTCTCAAAAGCCAACCATCTTTGTTAAGACAGAATCTCCCAATGGAATGGAGCTTGCCAATTCAGCTAGACTGGCTGGCCTGGGACCCCAGGGCCTCCTTCTGCTTCTTCTCCCCCAGTACAGGGGTCACAGTGGGTGCTGCTGCACCTAACCTAGTGGGTGCTAGGAATGAAACTCAGATCCTCATGCATGTGCGGTATCTTTCCAACCCCTGGGACCTTTAATGTCTCCCTAGCCAGAATGTTTTAGCTGTGTGGTAGGGGAAGTATACCTTTATGAAATTGTGAAATTAATTTGTGTTAGTTCTTTCTACAATGTAGCAACTTTTGTTGCCTGCTAGGCATTCAGGGAACCATTGTGCTTCTGCATTGCACACTGTCAGGCACTCGGAAGGTTGCTGTTTGCTCTGTGGGCATCATTTTGGCTTCCAGCCTCTTACTTGTGGGCACAGGCAATGTGTCTGCTATCTGAGGAAGCCTCTCCCTGAGGCTGGGCTTTGGGCTCAAATCTCAGTCCCCTTTGAGTCCTCCCGTCTTGCTAAGCTGCCTTCTTTTCTCTTCAGATAATTTGATCAGATGAAATGCCCCAGAATGACAGGCACCTCAGGGATGGAGAGCAGCCAAAAGCATGGTAGTGTCTTGATCAGAGATGAGTGAAGACAGGGCGGAGCCTGACCAGGATCTAGTTGATGCTGGTTTTTGGACCTAAATGATAAAGGGGGGAAATGAAGAAAACCTCAAGACAGTCAAACAGATGGAAGAAAAGTACGGAGACAAAGGATAGCAAAGAGATGGGGTTAGGGGAGCTTTGAAAGATGCTAAAAAGAATGATGAGCAAATCTCTTCCTCATCACTTCATAGTTACTGGCCCAGTAAGGCACATTGATGCTCAGCTGTTCTTCGAGTACAAGGAAATTGTGTGTGTGTGTGTGTGTGTGTGTGTGTGTGTGTGTGTGTCTACTGCCCCCTCCCAAACTCCCGGCTCCTGCTGACCAGCTTGAGGCTGATGACTCTTCCTGGTGAGAGCCAGGAAGGTACCTGGTCCCACTCCATATCAGGCTCTGAAGAGCTGATCCTAAAGAACCCAACAGAGGCCTTGCCAGGACACTGAGGTAAGCCAGCTCTGGCTCTGCCCCAAGCCACAGCAGACACCAGAGACACTCTGCTCCGGAGCACCCAGGCAGCTACATCCAGATCTTCAGGGTGACCTCACTCAGGCCACTCAGGGAATATCTGAGACCCAGTTGAGTCACTGTTCTGCCGGGGCTCCATGTGGTCCCTGGCAAGTGCACTCTGCCCCAGCAAGGCTCTGGAACCAGCTGGCGGAGGAATCCCAATACAGAAGACTGGTAGGCACGTACGCAACTATTAAGGCAGAGGCGACCGCAATAGGGCTTCAGTGAGGTCCGCAGTGGGGAACAGCAGGCTGAGTTTTGGAGAAGCCAACTTGGGCCTCATTCCTCATTGATCCCTTCCCGGGGAGGCCAGGACTTCCTTTTGTTTAACAATCCTTTGGTTAATACTTGTCTCCTCCAAAAACCAACAAATGCCACATTAATAATAGTTAATATTTACTTAGTACTCAGGGAGGGCCCTGGGCTACCAGGTTGACATGAATTAGTTCATTTCACTCCTAGCAAATCTTAAAGAGGTGTGTGTGTGTGTGTGTGTGTGTGTGTGTGCGCGCGCGCGCGCGCTCGCACAGGCAGGTGTGTGTAAGTCTTTAATAAAATTTCCCTTTCTTTGAACTGGACTTCTAGCCCTTAAAGACAAATGAATATCACAAATGGCATTTTTAAATAAAACACAGGCATGAGAGCTCTACGGAGTATGATGCATGTAGACAGTGGGTAGAGATAGCTGCTCTTATTTCCCTTTTAGAACAACTAACTGTGGAGCCATCAGCTCCTCATAGGACCAGCAGATCTGTCTTTGCATCTAAACTGGAACTAACTCCCCTTCACATGTATCAGTAAGAAGGTGACCAGGGTGAGAAATCTATGGAACAGTTTCTGAAGTGTCAGTGCCCCATCTTCCTTTCTCCTTCTGTGTGTGTTTATCCATGTATGCGTGTGTGTGTGTGTGTGTGTGTGTGTGTGTGTGTGTGTGTGTAGATGGAATGACTACTGTATCTGCCCCTCCTGTCCTGTTTTGTATCCGTTCAAAGTGGTGGTAAAGTTGGCTACCCTGTTCTACCACCTTTTTAAAAGAAGGATGCCCTCTTATCTGAAGCTATGAAATTACTGAAGCACTACGCAATTGTCAGTGAAACTTTTGGAATGCTGGCCCAATGTCTTGGGCTGGTAGCCATTAACAGATTTCTAAGTTGTAGTTCCTTTATTAATGCAGTGCAAGATGGTGTAAACATTGAAATTTCCATCACTCAGAAAAGCAGCAGTGAGTTTGTATTTACAAAGAAGTCCATAAAACTGTCGAAGAGGAGGAAATAGCTTGGCTTCACAAATGCAGTATTGTTTAGGAAGTGGCTCTTGCTTTGCCCCATCTTCTTGTAGGTGAACCAAACCTCTGAGCACAAGACAAAAGAACAACAAATCACGAAATGGACCAAGTATGGATTCATTCCTGTCATCCCCTTGTCCACTCAAGTAAACTCTTAACCCCCCTGCATCAGTATCATCTGGGTCATCTGCCATTCTGTCACACTCAAGAGAGCAGACATGAGAACATGTAGTCTAAATGTGCGTCTCTGTCATTCCTGGCACTGTAAACTGTCCCTGTTTCCTTTGTGACTCTCTGTAGCATTAAAACACATACTGTTTGCTTACAGATCTAGTTTTAATTTTACTCTTCGGGTAAGCTTTGGAAATATCATTAAAGTAAGTCATTTTCTTGGAGTTGATTTAGTCAAACATTTTTTTAGCTAGAAGGAGGGAACAGAGACTGCTCTAAATATTTATCTATATTTTTTCTCTAAAACTTTTATTAGCATTCTTTGAGTTTTAGAAAATGAAATGATACTAAAAAACGTGTTTAATTCATTATTTAGCTAACATCAATATAGAAACACTCTAGCCTTTCAGAAGCAGCTTTGATTATAAACTATACATTGTCCCTTTGTTCCTTTAAATAAAAGTATCAAAACAAAAAGTAAAAATCTCATATACAAAACAGATAAATGTATACAGTAAATTTAATTAAAAAGTACATTGAAAGGTAATAACACAACTGCTAATTTTGTTGTTCATAATAATTCTGCAAAGGTTTAATGGAAACTGTTAATAATGGCAGCATCAGTAAAAGTCTGCAGATACTCAGTAGGTTTTGTTGATAGACGGAAAGGTAAGTGTCTGTATCATAACCTGAGGCTGAGAGGAATTTGTGAAGTGAAACAAAGATATAAAGGATGTTTTCATTTAGAAAAGTAATATCACATGAAAGTCTTAATCTGAATGACTAAGAAGGTCTGAGAAAATGGTATTAAAAATTTATTACACAGAAAACGAGGGAGGGATTGTTTAGATAAGAGAAGAATTGGAGCCAGAGGAGGTACAGGGAGCCACAGTCCACATGAAATTATTACAGGACCACAATGCACGGATTCAGAGAAGAGATGTGTAAGGTCCACAGTGTTTGTGGTTACAAATGTCAGAAACCTGAGATAAGCATGGCCTAACAAACAGTCATCCATCATCTTTCAAATATGCCAGAATCTCACACAAAATACAGGCTCTTTGCATTTTGCCCTCTGTTTTGTTTGCAAGCTAGTTACTTCTAAACTAGTTCCAATCAGAATCACTAAATGGCTACTGAGGTTCCAGGTCTGATATCCTGACAGCATCCAAAACCAGAAACTGATTATTTTTCATTCTCTTTGCAATTAAGAGATGTTCTTCTGCATTACTCAAGATTGAACGACATGTAAAAATCCAAACATAATCATTGAAAAGAGCATTGTCATGATTGGTTTAAGTTTAGTTAAGACTTAGCCTAGTTAGAAGTATGCCTCCTCTGATGCAGAGAGACAAAATAGCCAGGCTGGCTTTGAGTTCCCAATCCAAGGATGAAACCTTTTTTCTACCTACAAGTTACTTGATGTAATATCCTTATGAGTCCATTAAGATGTGTGTTCCAGCATACATATCAATATTAATGTAGATTTCCCGTAACCAACTTAATGGATGCTTGGACTAAGTTACTTCCAGAGTGAATTTCAATACGCTAATACTGAGTTGAAGGAGCAAACTCTTTCTTTTGTTCCTTCTTTCTCACAAAGTTCTTCATATGGACAACCAGTCTGAAGCTTGTATATTTAACATTCACAGACATCCAATGACACCTTTGAAATTCCACTCATGTTGACTGGAAATGTTGTGCTACGGAAGAGGCTCAATTATGAAGATAAGACTCGCTACTACATCATCATCCAAGCAAATGTGAGTGACTTATCTTTTCTTCTGGCACTTCAGGAGCACAGAGTTCATCTAAAGTGTGTTTGGAGGTCTTCCGACTCTGGGTATAACTATGTATTCAACAGAACACACCTATGCTTGGTAGAATTTATGTTATATTCTAGGTGGGGAAGAGGGTGGAAGGAGGTTTGGTTTTCTGTTCTTCACTCTCTAAATCATCCTTTAATGCTCTAATCACACACCATACTGAAGTATTTCTTAAAAGATAACTACCAATCAGTTACCCTGAGCATCACCCCAAGACATGTTTTGAAAAATGCACATATCTGAATTGTGCTTCAGAAACTCATAATTGAAATCTCAGAGCAGCCAGTAGAGATGGCTCATCAATTCAAAGGGCTTTGTTGCTCTATCATGAGGACTGGGATTTGGATCCAGCATTCCACATTGCTCAGAAAGACTTGTAGCTCTAGCTTCAAGGGATCAGATACCCTCTTCAGACCATATTGGGCACACACGTGCACACACACACACACACACACACACACACAATAATAATAACAACAAAATTTTAAAAACTTTAAAAAAATCTCATAGGATGGAAATAAAATACCTTTATATTATGGTATATGTGCAAACCCTACTCTTGCTGCCTCACTTCGGTTTACTATTTATAGAGTGTGTGTAAATTTCAAACCCATTGTTTTCACTTTGATAGTTTCTTGGGCATTTTCAGGGGATTGAGCATAAAATGTGAGGATTATGGATTTATGGATCAAAGAAGGAAATATTTGTCGATTGTCATTAAAGTAGATTATATTAGCACATGGAACCACAATATGACATTGTACCATCATCTCTTATGCATGACATTTAAAAACAATATGTGAATTGTGTTAAACAAGCAAACAAAATCAAGTAAGAACCCCACTTCTAAAATAATTAAGACTAAAGCAATGTTGTTGCTGCTGATTGCATAAAGAAGTATAACACACTGCAGTCACTGGAAGTGATTTTATAGTTCATTTAGGAACATTCCTTCCTTGATTAGTTAAGTATCAGAAGTTGCCAGTGGTTGTAGGGAGCTGACAGAGGGCACATTTCAGGACAACTCTATGTCACATTTTTCTTCTACTGCAAAAACCTGGTAGCAATGGCATAATATTAATATATGTATCTGTAAATGTGTCTGTTAGAGACTTCCAGCCATTTGATAAGCTATTTTAATACTGAATATTTAAATGCTAGACTTCTGTTACAAGAATTCTGTGACAGTGCCTCAAAAATAAATGGAAAAATAAAGATTTCTACCTGAAATTTATTTAAAGATTATGTTTATATAATTTCATGTGACTTGTTAGAGTCCACATCTCTCCTGACTTCATCTCATAGAGCCATATTTACTTAATATACTGCTAAACAGAGAACAGGCACCACATGGTAAATAGCAGCCTTTTTCAGAAGTTCCATTAAGGAATTAAAATATTGTATAAGAAACCCTTTCAATATGGATGAAAGGAAAAAATGTGACTGCTTTGGGAAAAAGTTGGTTTTTCCTTATGACATATGGGTGAAAATTTCAGCCTCTGTAGTAGTTATTCATTGGGTGCCTATGTGTTGTGTTTGAGTTAGGATGCATCATGTGGCAATATGATCCTGAAAGCTGTGCAGTTTGGAATGGCAATACTGGAAACTGCCTACGGTGTATGATCCTACTGTCTCAGGAGCCAGCTCAGCATTGTCCCCTGTACCAAAAGCCTCATCTTCAGCCCCACTTTGATAATGGTCAGCGTGTATCTGTGACTGTTGCTGTGGCTTTTATTCTCCTGGAGGTTTTTTTTTTTTTTTTAAATTGTGGTCACTGGACTTGGAATCTTGGTGGTTCCCTGGATGGAAGAGACTGATGAAGAGAAAGGCTGGGAAAGTCAGAATTCCAGTGGGTGTGTGGTCCCTGGTCCCTGGTCTCCACGGTGGGGCTTTGGGGCTATAAGCGGTTATCATCCAGGCCCAGGCAACCCTCACCTCTCTTTATTTTGTCCATAGTATATCATCATTCTTTTCACCTTGTACCCTTATCCTGGTCTTCATGACAGTGAAATAGGGTTTTGTCTTTACAGTAAGATTATTTGTTGAAGGTTCATGTACACATTTTAAGTTTCCTACATCTGAGCTTTTGTTTTCCATGATGATTTGAATAACATTCCATTGAGCTAAAGCAAAAAATTGCTAAAGAGAAATTCATTTAAGAAAGATAAAGTTTTTGTTGCTAACAGGAGATAAAAATTGGGCATGTAGTTTTGGGGTAAAGATGTGGAAAGAAAACAGTCGTGATGCTGGTCCTGTGCTGGAGATGTCCTGGTCCTGTCCGCATCCCTGTCCTTCTCAGACATCAGAAATGCCAAAAGGGAGGTCTGCTTTGTTATCTCTCTGTTGCTAAATGAGCAACTGTGCTGTACTATATATAAAGACATAATATGTAGGAATGACTTTTATAAAATGGACAGTTTCTGGAGTAATGACTTTCACTTAACCTTGGCAAAATCACTGAACCATATGCTCTTGTGACTCAGACACCTAATTTTGTTTCCTGGGAACTTCTATTTGCTTGTATACATAGATCAATAACTAATAAATTTGTGTATGCTTGAGAATTAACATATCAAAGTGCCAAAAAACAGCGTGGGCATCTCACTGAAAACATGAAGACTGAGAAAAGATACTTGACATTGTATGTGAGGTATTCCAGATGGATGAAAAGGCCAGGTTGTCTGGTATATAGATCCAAACTTATACTTCACCAATTGAAGCTGGAGAAACAGTTTTGAATAAAATTGTGGGTGAGGCCTCACTGGAGGACACAGTTCTAGAACAAAGTTCCAACAAGACAGTTCTAGGGCATAGTTCTGAGAGATATCTAGGGGAACAGGTGTCCTCCAAGTTCAGACCCACTCTTAAATGCTAAAAAATAAGAGTCAGGCTGTTTTATTCAGGTAATTGTAAAGTTGGTATAATAATACCACAGAGATGTCTGGATATGTCATGGATGGGGAACTGAATGAATTAGCCCATCCACACAGTTATGTTTCATCCTGGCTTCTGCTGAAAGTCCCAGGAGAATTCTCAGTGGTCCCCATTCCCGATTCATACCAGCAATGCAGGCACTCTACTCTCTGTCTTTTACTCTCTCACCTCTAATCCAATAACTAAACGTCCCCCTGAAACTTACCCTTCTGTGGTTCCAGAAGTTCATTCTTTAAATTCACTAGACAAGAACACTGAAGCCACTGGCCTAGGGAGGCTTTGTTAGCAATTGATTTTCAAGGACATTTTTACCCTCTGTCCTGCCCTGAAGCTACCTGAAGCCAGGTAGCTCTTGTCACTCTCAAGGACACTCCAGTTTTCTAAATATTCATGTCAACACGTGCTGAATGTTAGAAATGTATTTGATAATATGAAATAACAAGTTGAAGAAATACAAACGAGTCAGTATATTTCTCATCTTGTCTTGCAATTGAAAATAAAATCACAGAGTGGGTGTCTTATCCAAAAGAAATGTATTTTCTCAACAGTCTAAAATGTAGAAACCCCTGATCAAAGTTGGCCAGGATTTGTTTCTGATGAGGTTTATTTCCTGCGTAGAGGATCTGTTTTCTTTTTGTGTGCTCACATTGTCTACATTCTGTATTCATATAAGCAGGATCTAAGATTCCTATTAGTATGAGTTCTGTGTTCCCACTGTGCCAGAGTCCATCCTACAACAGTTTCTCTCAGTTACTCTCTTACATAGTGCCCCTGTCTCATACAATTTTGGATAATACATAATTCAATTTGTACAGAAGTACTTCAATTTAGAAAATATTTTAAGGTGACATCCTTAACAATTATAATTACACTTTTCTGAGTTAGTGGATATGATCCTATTTTTAAATAAAATTTAAGATCTATTATTTTTTAATTAAAATAATATTCCTCATTTGAGTTTAGCAAGTTTAAATATTTTAGTATTAATCTTATTTTATGCATATGAGTGTATCGCCTGCATGTATGTGAGTGCACCTGTGTTGTGCAATGCCGCAGAGGTCAGAAAAGGGCTTCGAATTCCACTGGACCTGGAGTTAAGGACGGTTCCAGTTCGTAGCTGCAATGTGGGTGCTTGGAATTGAACCCAGTCCTCTGCAAGAGCAGTCGGTGCTCTTAACTGCTGAGCCACCTCCAGGGAAAGAAAAAGAAAAACCAAGAGGGTGAATGAGGACAAGGAGAGAAAAGAGGACTTTTCATTAGCTTGTTGTGTTGTATCCCTCCTAACAGTGAATGAAGACACAAGTCTGATGGGATCATATACAAACTAATGCAGAGCTGGGTGTCATTTGCATCACTCACAGTGTGAAGTGTCTCTTTCATCCCGTTTACTGCCAAGCATTCAGCTGGCCAAATGTCATACCCAGAGGGGCAGAGAAGTGACTCTTTAAAACAGCTCAAGAAGGCTTCACATCAACACCATCATCACAATGGATGCATCCACAGAAGGGCCTTGTCCAAAGTTTCATCCTTGCATGCCTCTGGCAAACAATTTGATAAACTCTAAATTTCTAATGAAATCTTTTCCATTTCCTTATGTGTGAATGAAGGATGTCTGACACATGCCACCTCTACTGTACAGTCAAAGTTATCATCTGAACTGTCCTGTAATGAAAAACAACTTGATATAATGTGAGGAAGTGATGCCAACCATAAAGCACAGCTCTCACCCCAAAGGGACAAGACAGTTTATTCTGGAGGCAAATATGAGTGACTACATCTCTAGAACACAGATTCGGCTTACCCCAAATTCCATGTTCCAGCATGGAAGCAGTTTCATGATTTTTTTTATAGTATAATACTATAACAAAGAATAGTTATAAATCAAGAACGTTTCAAATACATTGATGGAAACATTCAGTAGGTGGCTGAATCAAAAGAGAAATCTCAGCTGTAGGCCTCAGATGCTCTTTGATAACACTCAGTCTTTTGGTTGGTGGAAGCTAGAGTTTTGTTAAATTAACACATTGCAAAATGTTCTTATTGGTCACAACATGTTGTCAGAAACAGAGGTGGACTAAAGATCACCCAAGATAAATTGTAATTATGCTCTGTACCTAAAACATTCAAAACTCTCCACCATCATTGAAATGCTAATCAGGTGACAGACTTTCTAGAAGCTTGGTCCAAAATATAGTTTTTTTTTTTCCTTAGAACTTTTTCATTTATAGTGACTTTACCTCTGCAAATTTTTAATCCCTAAATAATATAACCCTGTCTAATCTTGGGAAAAAATCAAGAAAAATTTCCCTTGAAATACATTGTGCAAAATTCTAACTCTTGTACTAAACATTGTCAGGGTCAGGTATCAGGAAACATTATGACTACTACGTGTAAGGTATCCTGGTGGGTACAGAACAGAAAAAGGACATTAAATAGCCACAGAGGAAAATGAATAAAGGCTGGATATTATTTATTAACAGTACATTATCAAAGTAAAATGAAAGGGGACAAAGTTCAATAGGTGCAGGACCCTTTACTGAAAATTTTGCAATGGCATAGATCATATCACAAGGACTAAAGATCTGTTGGCCTGTGTGGAGGCAGAAAGCCAGGAACCACTAGTGTCTAATGATGTGCCTTTCACTGGATAGCTAAACCTTTTTGTAAGTTCATGTCAAAGGGGTAATTTTAGAACATGAGAGAGTCTTCCAGAAACTTGATTTCCTACCTTCCAAGAGACATGGAGTGAGAAACTCATATTCTTTACCATTCACATTATAAGGGAATGGTTCCCAGGCCATTAAGAAAGGGTAAGCTTGAGTTGCTGAGCTGTGTAAGACTGATGAAATGGTTTTTAACCTCAAAGAGGCAGAAAAGGAATCAAATTGCAGTTTCAAAGTCAATAAAATTCATGCTCTAAGAAGAGGAAGAATGGACATTTTTGTTAGGTCTTCTGGATTTTATAAGGTCCAGATAGGTCAGAGTCCTAAAGACAAGGAGGAGTTCTCATGTCCAGCCTACCTAAGTGAACCCTAAGACCATCTAAGTCCAAATAGGTGTTTCTTTGTAGCAAATGCCCCATATTGACATAAGACGTTAGTAAAATAAATGACACTGGAATTCAGATATTTGAGACCTCACTGTTTTATCTTCCAAATATAAATACAAAATGCAACTCTTCTAACAAAGGAATAGGATCATTTATTCTGAGCCAAAAGTGAGTGAGCTTGTCCCAAAAACACAGTTGAGGTCTCTCTGAATGACATGTTCAACTGCAGCAAATGTTATGCAAACTTTTATAGCCACAACAGACAATAACAAATCAAGGCATTTACCAAATATAGACATTTTATCAGTCTGCAGGATTTTCAACGCTTGTCTGAATTTTTCAGGAAATTTCAGTTCATTTTCTTAAAGAAAAAGCTTAAAGCTCCTTCAAATTTTTAATTTTTTAAAAACATTACTACATTTCTCAGCAGTAGCCCCTAATAGCTAGTCACTTCTCTCTTCCTCATTATTCATCTTGATGACAAACAATTACATTCATTCCCAGACTGGCTTCCATGGTGAATTTTTTAGTGTTCCTAACTAAGTCAAATCCATTTCCAACTTCCCTCATTTTCTGTCTAATACCTTAAAAAGTACCAACCTTTAATACTTCACCTATCCTTACATACCATCAAGAAACTGGATTTGAAGACAGTACACATTCTGCCTTCCCCATATCAAATTTGGTTCAAAAAAAGTTATTTAAAGTTACATTCAGGAAGCCCTGAGAGGCAGGTGGATCTCTGCGAACTGTAAACCATCTGTAATACATAGCACGTTCTGGACCAGCCTGTCCCCAAATTAAAACAACAACAACAATAAATTAAAATGCAAAAGAAACAATGAAGAAGCTAAATCTCATGGCTATGTAAGTCATATAGAAGTCTGTTTCTCTCTCTCTCTGTCTCAGGACCGTGCACAAAATCTGAATGAGAGAAGAACCACCACCACCACCCTCACGGTGGATGTCCTGGATGGAGACGACCTGGGCCCGATGTTTCTACCTTGTGTTCTTGTGCCAAACACTCGAGATTGCCGTCCACTCACCTATCAAGCTGCCATCCCTGAGATGAGAACGCCAGTAAGTACACTCGGAGCTTTTCTTCTCCATTTACACTTTTTAAACCCAATGGAATCCTGTCCAGATGCTTTGCAAACAGACTGATCAATAGTAGGGAGATTTATTAGCAGGACACTGAAATACATTTTTATGTAAAGCTATTTTCATAGGATATGGCTAGATAATTTCACAGTGCACAGTTAAATCCTTTACAAAGTAGAAAGAATCTCAAGGAGCCACAATACCTTTGACACTGACTTTTTTTGTTGTTGTTGTTCTCCACCAATAAATCACAGCAGCATCAGTTAGCAGCATATTTGGATAACTCAGAACCCAGTCTTTACCCAAAATTTGATCAGATGTATAGTCTGAATTCAGAGGACAATATGGTCAACAGGACAGTTCTTCCATATATCCATGTTCAGAAATATTGGGCTTCCTGGAAAAGGAGCTAACAAATCCTGAATATGCATGCCTTCCCTTGAAGATGTGCACAAAAGAGGCAAAATCATGTTGCATGAATACCTATATTCTACACTCAGTTCTGAATGTAAAACGTGTTAGCAGATCTATTAATTCAGGGCATGCGAAAGTCACACCTTGGAACAACCTGACTTCAGGTGTGCATACCCGAACGTCAAGATTTTAAGGCATCCACATTCCTGCCAATGACATGGAAGACTCAGAAGGGCGGATAGTGCATGTTTGCTCATGTGCAAATATACACATAGATGAATGGATGGATGGATAGACAGACATCAAAGATGAAGGACTCTTCTAGAAAAGGAAAGGGACTAATAGGAAATGTGATGGGGGGCAGCAGAAAGTAACTGGGAGGGAACATGATCAAGGTTTATGATACACATATATGTAAACGTCAGATGAAACCTATCATTTTACCCAATAAATACACATGAATAAAAAAAAGAATTGTAAGGCAAGCAGGTATCTTGCTAATATTTTTCTCCTAAAAAGTATGCATATATAATGAAAGGGAGAGAGGGGCGGGGGAGATATTGATTCACGGAAGTTGCATGCCTTGCTCAGTCTGAGAAACACTCAGCTCTCAGGATTCCTAACCTAATTACCAAGGGTAGAATTTGTTAGAAAATCTTTGAAAAATTTCTCAAGATGTGTGAAAACAGGAGTTTTATGTGTCCTATCTATATTTGAGAATTTGGAAAATATAACAACTGTTTTGCTATTTTTTCTTACATGGACAGTAATTTGCAGAGAACCTCATTCAGTTCAAGTGTTATAATGTACCTGCAACTTTTACTCAGAGTACATCTTAATTTCATGAGAACTGCTTTTGAGTATAAAATATAAATGACCATAAATCTGATGATTTGCATGAGCAAAAAGCATGATGAAAAATTAATGGAATGGTATATATTAAATGAAGATAATTTTTACTAACTTTGAATGCCAAAATGCTAAGCAGACTTGTCTGGGCAAAGAAATGTTGGCAAGTTAACATCTTGACGGTATTTTTTAAATCTCAATAAGAAAATATCCAAGGTTGGGACAGCACCACAATTTTTTAAAATTTTTAAATAAAGCTTAATGGGAATCTGAAAAATATATTTTTAGTATTAATTTATGCTTCAGAGTTAATTTATGTAGCTATTGAGACCCCCAAGAGGAAGGATTCCTCATACAGCAACAATTATTTCAGTGACTTGATTTGATGGCTGTTTAACAGGAGTTGGTGCTTTGTAGAACGATTAAGGCAGCAGGGTACCCTGATGGTTTTATTGAAGATCAGTCTGTACTCCAGGTTACTGGCTGAGGACTTCTTATTACTAAAAGGGATTAGAGTGATAATATAAATGATTAACAAAGGCTAACACTTATGCACAATGTCCACTTTGCCATGAACTCTGCCAAGCTCTGAACAAATATTAACTGAGCGAATATGCTCAGATCCCTTTTGCAGAGGTGATTTCGCTCAGCAAATTTCACAGCTGATTCTTATAAGAGTTTATATAGCTTCTCATGATATTATAACTAACTGAGTAAATTGCACGGATATATATACATATGTATCTTTGTAGATAGATATATACGCAGTTTAAGATCATTGACCAATAGTAAAGTTAATATACATTAGATCACTGACTCTGAACACAAACATGGAAAGTAGACTCCAGGTCTTATAGCCTAAATTGAGCTTGAGTTCAGTTTTTCCTGTGGACACCATGATGACTGATGTTCCTTGACTCATCTTCACCATTGTTACACAGAACAGTATTCATATATGGAATATTAGTACCACCAAAAATGTAATTCAAGCTTAACAGTCACTTTGTCCTCTATTGGCAAATCTGTTCCTTTGGTAAGAATGGACTGAAATAACACAAAGGGAAAGTTGATGTCCATTCAAGAAATCTCTTATGCATAGATATTGAAAGGTAGTTTAAACAGATATTGAAGTGTTTCTAAGCATAGTGGATGCTTTCTGGTATAAAAGGAGGTTTGCAAACAAGGAGCAATGAACAGTTTCAAAAGAAAGTACCATTTTCATAGTGTTTAAAACCATGCCTTATTAATCAAATGTTATGTTAAAATTCTAGAATAATCAATCTTTATACTTCATTATTTTGAGAGATCAATTCATTTATTAACACACTGTGACATATAGATTTTATTTTTATATCTATAAATACATATGTTGATAATGACTTACTAGAGATTATTTCTATTGCCACGTAGGAAAAATATGAAATTTGTTTAATTGTAAAACTACACTTATGTTTTTACTTATATTATAGTGTTATTATATCCAAGAAAACTTAATACTTTCAAACTCTATTCATTTAAAGTTTTCATAATACTGGGATTTTATTTGGGTGAGTTCAAGGAAAATCTCAGCTTCACTTCCTATGGCCTTCCTAGAGCACCTGAACTGGGGGCTGGGTACATGTAAGGTAGGTTACTTGTGTGGCTGCGGATAAATGCTATTTGATGGGTGGTGCTCAGCCAGGGATATAAACTGAACATCTGATACACTCCTAGGGCTTGCCAACAGCACTACAGTGGGTTGGAAAAATAAACTTACCAAGGAAAGCTGGTAAAACTGTTTATGAACCTGCTTTGATGTTTGTAGTCTCAGTTCTGCCATAGGCAAACTCTGCTTGTCTCAGATGTAGACAATCACTCCAGCTCCCTACTGAAGAAGTGTCTAAGTTCTAGTGAACATCAACCACATAGGAAAGGGAATGTCATTGAAAAATGAAGTCAGCCATAGGAGTCCATGAGCTTTTCCACATCATTATTTGAATCTACTCTGACTTACCAGGGGTCAAATTTATTTTAAAATTTCACATTCAAATTGCAGTTTAAGATGCCTTTTCATTCTTTTCTATTTTAATTTTAATTTTCCATTTTCCTTTATATATTCTGGCAAAAATTTGAGAACTATCAATAAGTAAGATCTCACTACGCAGAGAAAAACACCCATTTATGTCAGCTGAACAGGACATGTTGACTGTAATTATGTCTTGGCTGAGTCTTTCTCTAACTAATCTTCAAATTCTGAAAGCTGGGTCACCTACTCACCTCTCTACTAATGTGAAATTTCCCACCAGCTAACTCAGAGGTGTTCTTTTTAAAAATACTCTTGTTTGTGCTCCCAGAGGCAAAAGAAGGTGTCAGATCCCCTGGATCTGTAGTTACATAGTTGTTAGGTGCCATGTGGGTGCTGGGAACTGAACCCAGGTCATCTGCAAGAACAACATCTGCACTTAATTGCTCAGCCATCTTCCCAACCCCCTCAGTGTTATTAACCTCATTACAATATGTGAAGAAATCATTAGTTCAGAAGAACTTTTAGTGTATTTTTACCAGCATGCGTAACTCATGAACTAGGTTATAAAATGGTAAAGCCTATGCTTTATATTAAAAGTCTAATGAGCATAGTTTTAGAGATAAATATATATTATAAATGTAAATTATGTTTTTCTACTAGAGAAAATTGTCTTCACCAAAAATTAATGCCTTCATTGATGCTGAGATTAATAAGAAATTATTAGATACATTTAATATATGGCTAAGGCCATTGGTAGTTATATGCTAATTATTTGTTATTAACTTGATAAATATCTGAGAGTTCTAATATAGGGGAGAGTCTGTGCTAAGTGGGTAGCCTGCCCAAATCAAGTGATGTAAATCCTCCTCATTTTCCCTTTTTAAAAGTTATTATTATGCCTATAAAGATTTTGTCTTCTATTATGAAAACAATTTACACATTTTTACAAAATCAGTAATAGTATATATTTACTTGGTTGACATTTTTTTTACTGAATGATTTAACCCCAGATAGAAGCATTGATTTACTGACATATTATCTGTGTGTTTCCTTATACACATTCCTTGAGCTGTTTTACACAGACTTTTCAGTATGTAAGCTTTAGTTGCCTACTGGACATAAGATAATTTTCCATCCCCTGTGTAAAGCCTCAGATGGCCTTTCATAACCTCCAGTCAAAAATACCTACACTACAGTCTACTACAGAGGTCTTGTTCCCATAGAACTGTCAGAAATGTTTCCCTGGATTTATTCCTTTCTTTCTTCCTCTAGGAACATAGTCTATGATCTTAGAATGGTAGGATTTTCATATTGCCAACATTTATAGCTTCTTACTCAACCAGGCTGTCTATAAATGTTCTACAATCTAGGAATTTACCCATCTTTTGTTGTTTAAAACAATTTCTTGACAATTCCATACATGAGTGTCCCGACCCGCGAGACAGTCAACGTGGGTTTCTGGAGGGAGGAGAGGGGATGGAAAGGGACAAGAGATGCGAAGAATGGAGACAAGACAGGCTTTCTGATCAAGTCTCATTTAATGAACATCTACACAAAGTTTTTATAGTGAGGAGAGGGGGAAGTTGGCAGGGACAAATCCATTGAAGTAGAGCAATTCAATTAACAGAATGATCATCACAATAACACCACACCAATAGATCACAGAGTAAATTCCATAGTAACACCACAATTCTATATAGCAAGTGATAAA